GTGGATGTATACATGTATATATTTATTTTGCAATTTGCACTAACAAGGCTATCTGTCTCACATGAGACTGTGATTAGCACTCCCAAATAGAAGTGGGTAGACAAACAAAAATTATTTTTTTAAATATATTTGACCCAGCTTTGGCTCTAGGCAACACTCCAGATTGTAAGATGTGACAGAATTTTGAAGTAAGGGCATATACAAGGTTCTCACTTAGACGAGTCCATGAGTCCTGGACTCATAAAAAAATGTCTGGACTCATCATTTTCAAAACTGGTGAGGCCAAAGATGCATCAGGCCAAAGATGCATCAACAATGTAAAATGTTGTATGAACTGAGCAAAAATATCATAATTTTATGACAAAAGTTTAAAAATAATCTAAACTTGATGTCATTCTTGCTCTATTTTGTCATGGGGACTGAAATAATAAATGATATAGTAATAAAATAATTCATCTTCTCACTATTGGACTCGCCATCTAAGACAAAAATGACAAATCCTTAGTGAGAACCCTGATATAAATGAAATCATAGATGTTTAAAATAATGACTTGCAGAAAGTATACAACACAATATTAATCATCTACCACCAACTTTTTATGTGCAAATTGCCCTGAAATGAAATCTTTTAATTTTTTATTCAAACATCAATAAAAGCAGAATATTTTAATTATTATTTGCTATTAGACACGTTAGAAGCCAGTTTGATTTTACTTGATTAAAATAAATGTGGAAAACATTGTTCATTTATCATTGACATGCAAGCCAATAATTCAACTTGATTTGGTTCCATGCAACCTTTGGTTGTGTGAGTCTATAGCTAGTGTTAGAAACAAATGTCGGCTGTAAAAGTGTAACTTCGGTCATGACAAAGGAGGGAAGGCAGCAGCAGGAAGACTGAGTTATTGAAATGAATTGACCACCCAAATAAATCAGTCTTATCACTGCTTATGCAGGTTATGTGTAAATTACTTACATTCAATTGATAAGTTTTAATCAATCAGATCATGTCCAACAGACAGATTTCATCTGACCTTGACCTAAAGTTACGTCTCAAGTCTGTATCTCAGATACTGTAAGCAATAGGTGAACTATATTTGGTGTATGGAATGATTGTAAGGGGTACATATCTGACTGACATATTTCATCTGACCTTAACCTCAATTTCATGGTTCATTGAACAATGTTTAGTTTTTGTGGTTTGGTCTATTTCTCAGATTCTATAAGCAATAGGGCCACTTATTTGGTGTATGGAATGATTGTCAGGTGTACATGTCTGTCTGCCAGGTTTCATCTTACCTTGACCTCATTTTCATGGTTCATTGGTGATTTTCAGTCTTTGTGGTTTGGTCTATTTCACAGATATTATAAGCAATAGGTCAACTATATTTAGTGTATGGAATAATAATGAGGTGTACATGTCTGTCAGGGTTCATATGACCTTGATCTCATTTTCATGGTTCATTGGTCAATTATAAATTTTGTGATTTTGTCAGTTTATCAGACACTATTACCATGATTACATTTATTAGCAATAAGTCAACTATATTTGGTGTATGGAATGATTGTTAGGTGTACATGTCTGTCTGGCAGGATTCAAATGACCTTGAACTCATTTTCGTGGGTTCATTGGTCAATGTTAAGTTTATGTGACACTTGTAGTAAAACCTTCATATTACAGACTTTCAACATAAATTCAATGATAAGTAAAACAGGCAAGACATTTCAGTGTGTGCACTCTTGTATTTTAACTTCATTACAGTATTTGTTTAATATTTATTATTAATCAAATATGAATATAAAGGAATGCCCTCTAATTGTTTCATTCACACTATATTTCTATAAAACATGATAAATAATTGCCAATTCTCTGCTGGTTATTATTTTAATTTTAGATTTTTTAAAGTCATGTATGTAAATTGAGACATACATTGTACATTCAAAATGCCTTTCATCAAGATGATAAAGTGCCCTTTTTTTTCATTGCAGCACCCTGCCCTTTCCAAATGTACATGTAGCTAAAACACATAACCTTTCAAGTAAGCATGTAATGAAAAGAGGCTATTTGACCAAATCATATTTGTATCTTAAATCAAATGCTTGAAAAGGAGCTTCAAACAACTACTGTACTGGGAATAAAATATTTGCAAAGAAATTATTTAATGTATCAGTACATGATGTAATAATTTATATGTATGGAAATGCTGCTTGAATATTGTGATAAAGTTAGATTGGTTGGCCTGGAAACAGCATTGACAGTGCTTTGATTTTATATTGTGTTGTGCGAAATATCTCCCAAAGCAGTCAGAGGAGTAAAAAAATGTAAAGTGTACAAATTCTCATGACCATGATGACAGGTTAATTATACATTGTATATTGCACCAACAATAACAAATTGAACTTAAACTATAAACCAAGTATACATACCTGCCAACTTTTCAAAATCTCCATGGGTGATTTTAAGCACTAGAGCAACTAATGCATACCTATACATGTCATTAGTGTTCTTAATTAGAACATACACATGTATATGGTTTTGAATGAGTATACATGCGTTTAAATGTATTTTTATGCCCCCGCCGTACGGTAGTGGAGGGGGAAGTTTTACCCTTGTCCGTCTGTACGTCCGTACATATATCCCGAAATTGGTTTCCGTTCTCTAACTTAAGTTTGATCAAGTCTAAATTTGGGTGGTGTCACTTTTAACTCTCTAGAGTTATGCCCCTTTACAAATGGAAAAATTGCTGAATTTTAATTTCCATTCTCTAACTTAGGTTTGCCTCAACCAAATGATATGAATCTGATACACAATGCTTATTACCACAAAACACAGATCAAGTTTGAATTTTGGTGGTGTCACTTTTACCGTTCTATAGTTATGCCCCTTTACAAAAGGAAAAATTGCTGAATTTTTCGTTTCCGTTCCCATACTTGAGTTTGCCTCAACCAAATGTTATGAAACTTATACACAATGCTTATTGCCACAAAAGTCACATCCAGTACAAATTTGGGTAGTGTCATTTTTACTGTTCTTGAGTTATGTCCCTTTATAACATTAGATGCAAAAGGGTGGGGGGGAGGGGGCATCATCTGTGTCCCATGTCAACTTACTCCTTTGAATGCCCTTTTAAAAGTATTTAGTCTAAATAATTGAGTTTTTTAAGGGTCAGGTTAACACCTCTCATGGGGTATCCCCCCTTATAGTGGGGAAGTTGGCAGGTCTGAGTATATTTCAGTACTCTGCAGTGTCTTCTTAAAAGCATCCAACCATGCCAAATATGATAACCTGCCTCATAGAGTCAAAGGATAATTGTCATTTTGATAAAAAATATTGAAAGTGTTACAAGTTAGTAAATGTGAACTCAAACTTTGTACATACATTGTAATGTTCACTTTATCTGATTTGTTTGTCACCATATCCTAACAAAATCCTATCAAATCCAAGAATTTTCAAGCTCTAAAGCGAATGCATTATAATTAAGACACAATTCAAATTTAAAATACATTAATATGACATTCTTCTGTCTTGTGAACATCTGAAGCACTTAATTTGATTGATTTATAATCATGATAATACTTCTTTGATTTTTCCAAGGATTTTTATACATGGTATAGTAAGTCTTACTATACAAATCCTTGATTTTTCGAATTCAAGGCAACAAAAGTGGCCTTAGTCTTCTTTTTTTTTATCTCTTTTGTCAAAAACATTATAACATCCTTCATGAAACTGAAAATTTAAATACTTTTTGAAATGAACAAATTTGACTAATTAAAACAATTATTAAATGATAAGAATATGAAACTTGTGAAAATTTAAATACATTTTGAAATGAACATTTGACTAATTAAAAAATTGATAAAATGATAAAGATATTAAAATTTATAAACCTGTCTTTAAATCAAAGATATTTAATCATGTTAATTCATCAAATCAATTTATGTGTGGGTTGTATTACAGTACAAAATATTTAGGTAACAGCTTGCTGTCTCAAGAAATAATACAGCTACCTTTGACATTTAAAACTATTTTGTTGTGCAACTTTTACATATTTAGTTGTTTCTTCATTACATTTTTGATATTTATTTCAGAAATATATTTTTGTAAGTATATTGTAAAAAGACGGTATTAAATACTGGTGATCACTGATAAAGTTCTCTAATGTATTTTTTAAACTTATGTTTTTCAAAAAATTATTAAGAAAGTAAAAATAGCTTATTATGTAAGTAAGTTCCAAATATTGTATTTTTAGCCAAGTGAAATGTATTGTTGATAGATTTCCAGTTAGTACTTCACATGAAACTAAACATTTACTTCATAAATTGAAGGGCAAAACAATAAAAATATAATTTTGTATTACCTGCATTCAGTTGTAACTTGTAGGGGGGGATTATGCAGTCTCTATCTGCATCAATTTGTTCAAGGTTTTGGTTTAACCCATTCAAGGTATCACCTGGCAATGACTGTATCTGATGTATAAAGGCATTACCTATCAATAACTGTATCAAGGCATCACCTATCAATGACTGTATCAAGGCATTACCTATCAATTACTGTATCAAGGCATCACCTATCAATGACTGTATCAAGGCATCACCTATCAATGACTATCAAGGCATCACCTATCAATGACTGTACCGAGGCATCACCTATCAATGACTATCAAGGCATCACCTATTAATGACTATCAAGGCATCACCTATCAATGACTGTACCGAGGCATCACCTATCAATGACAATACAATTTGTACTACTTCTTCTTTAATCAACATGGTTCATTTATACTTTGATAGTGTCTGTCCCATGATTTTCTCGCTTGTCCCACAAACTTTTTCTCAATTCCAATATCTTTATCTGTTATGTGATAATAACATCTTGGCAATTTCTTTTGAATGATGACAGTCTTTTAACTTGATTTTATGCTTCCCTATCTCCTGGACAGTTCCTCACTACAGAGTTACCTCTTTTTTTGTCACATTTATATATTTATATGTCTTTGTAGCTCAATCAAGACAAAGACAACTAATGCAATAAGTATGGTGCTTGAGAAGAGGCAAAGATATGACCATTCTTCTCAACATGTTTCAAATACATAAGACTTTTAACCATGGAATCATTGAAGAAGCATTTTTCAAATGCAGGAAATAAGGGAAATGAAACGGAAACATCAAAATCCAAATTCTTCTTGGACATGAACAGCTCTTCGTTCATGTCACATGTTGTGAACGGATATGAAGGCGTGGTGGAGTACATTGATGCATGGAAGAAATTTGATGGGGCTGGTACCCACCTTATTGATTCCCTGCAGAGTGCTGTGAAAGGAACATGTTATGAGAATCTTGGACAGGAAACCAGTAATGCCTTTAAGTCTGTCCACTCCAGTAGTAATGGTATTGATCCATCAGGAAAGTTGAGAGAGATGGAAAACCTACTGTTTGGTCTGAAAAATCAGCTTGAAAGTGGAGATGAAAATGACAGGTGCCATTCAAATTTACAAGTATGTTGAGTTGACAACATTATTTACATTCCTGCTAATTAAGTAGTAAACATTTGGTTGAGATCTTTTTATGTCCATCTTTTGCTAGATTAATGCTTGTTCTTGCTAAAGTTGTGTGGTAGTTATTTTATTGCCAATGTTTTTTTACTTAGGAACTCACTCCAAACCATGATGACTAACATATTTATTGTAAAAATACTGATTCTGAAAATAGATGAATTAACCTCAATGATCTCTGAGAATACTGTACGAGTAAATTTGAAAGTTAAATTCAAATTCATTTGGTAATGTTCATGATGTTGTTCAAGGATTTTACATATTATCTTTTTTGAGATAGATCAAAATTTTATTAGAGGAGTTCTCCCTTATAATTCCTAATGAGATACCTGTTACCATAGTCATAGTCCAACCCTATTTCCACTCAAATATTTTTTTCAATCGTTGACCTACATTTAAATTTATCTTTTCAGATTTTATGTCGGTGCTTCTTGCTGTTCTTAAAAGTTCAGTTAGACTACCATCAAATGTGTTCTGCCACTGTTGTCTCTTTACTCAGTGTACTAGTCCAATCCTACGAGTGTTCAGATAACAAAGATGTTTTACTCCAAATGAGTAACTTAGACATCATACCTCCTTCCCCTAGGCAATCCCCTAGTCGAAATCACTCGCGTAAAAAACAAAACCAAAGCAGCTACTCACCAAAATTGCCTACCAAGCAAAATACTCTAAAATCATCATTTCTCTCACTCTTCGAAAGGAAGAATTCACCAGATGAAAGTAACAGTGGAACTGCATTTTATGTGGACATAAGTAAAAATGATCAAAGTGATGCACCAACTAAAGATAACCAGAAAGTGCTAAATAAGGATATAGCAATTGATAATATTGAAGAGCCACATGCTGATCCTAAGGGAGATGTTCAGACAGGGATTTTGGTACAAATAGGACTGGATCCAACTGATGAAGTACCACCAGAGACCAGTTTCATGAAACCAGTCAGCCCAGGTACAAATTATCGATTATAATAGTAAAATATTTGCAGTTTACACATGCAAATGCTCTCTCTTTTGGTTTCCTTGATGAAATAATCATAACACCAGAAAATATATGGTTATCAATATACATGTAGTGTAGATGACTAGATGTAATAAACAAGACATTTCTTAGATTGAATTGTATGCAAGATAAGCATAAAAAATTGATTGGAGGCATTAAATAGTATATGAAATCCTTAATAAAGACATTAAATTTCTTACCTTTATATTGTTAATCAGATTAGAAATATGTTATATATATATATAATTTGGATGTGTGTGATGAAAATATCTTTCTAATATTGGTGTTTGTTTAGATGGGGTTTGCATTTAAAAGAACTTTAAATTTAGAAATTTTTTTATTCAGACAGCTATTTAGCACAACTTTACCAGTTTACTTAAGACTTCCATTTTTTATACGACCGCAAAAATTAAAAATTTTTTGGTCGTATATTGGTATGACGTTGGCGTCGTCGTCGTCGTCGTCGTCGTCGTCGTCGTCGTCCGGCGTCGTCCGAAGACACATTGGTTTTCGCACTCTAACTTTAGTTTAAGTGAATGGATCTCCATGAAATTTCACCATAAGGTTCAATACCACAAAAGGAAGGTTGGGATTGATTTTGGGGGTTATGGTACCAACAGTTAAGGAATTAGGGGCCAAAAAGGGGCCAAAAATAAGCATTTTTGTAACTTTCAGACAATAACTTGTGTGTAAGTGTATGGATCTCTCTGACATTGTACCACAAGGTTCCATATCACAAAGGGAAGGCTGTAATTGATTTTGGGGGTAATTGCCTCAAAATTTTAGGAATTAGGGGCCAAAAAAGGGGCAAAAAACAAGCATTTTTCTAGTTTCATGACAATAACTTGTGTGTAAGTGTTTGGATATTTCTGAAATTGTACTACAAGGTTACATATCACAAAGGGAAAGCTGGAATTGAGTTTGGGGGTAATTGCCCGAAACGTTTAGGAATTGGGGGCCAAAAAGGGGCCAAAAATAAGCATTTTTCTAGTTTCCAGACAATAACTTGTGTTCAAGTGTATGGATCTCTCTGAAATTGTACTGCAAGGTACCATACCACAAAGGGAAGGCTGGGATTGAGTTTGGGGGTGATGAATCATAAGGGGGTTCAAAAAATTTGGGGGGGGGGGGGGATTTTTTTTTTTTTTTTTTTCTTTTTTTCCTTTTTTTTTTCTTTTAAAATTTTCCATTTTAAGTTGGTTATTTCTGATTTATATTTAAAAGCAAATAATAATGATATGGTAGGAGATACACACCAAACAGGATGTGTAAATTATTATATAATAAGTATTGTGCAATAGCAAGAAATTTTCAATTGCACAGTATTGCACAATAGCAAGAAATCTTCAATTGCACAGTATTGCGCAATAGCAAGAAATCTTCAATTTAACAGTATTGCGCAATAGCAAGAAATATCCAATAGCACAATATTGCGCAATAGCAAGAAATTGTCAATTGTACAGTATTGCGCAATAGCAAGAAATATTCAATTGCACAGTATTGTGCAAAAGAAGATACTTCGTATAAATTGCTTATTTCTTGATCAATTTCAATGGGGTTTTATTCTTGAATTCTTGGGGTTCTTTAATATGCTGAATCTAACCGTGTATTAATTTTTTAGATTTTGGGCCCCGTTTTTAAATTGGTCCACATTGAGGTCCAAAGGGTCCAAAATTAAACTTTGTTTGATTTCATCAAAAATTGAATTATTGGGGTTCTTTGATATGCCGAATCTAACCGTGTATTTAGATTTTTAATTTTGGGTCCCTTTTTTAAATTTGTCTACATTAAGGTCCAAAGGGTCCAAAATTAAACTTAGTTTGATTTTAACAAAAATTGAATTCTTAGGGTTCTTTGATATGCTGAATCTAAACATGTGTTTAGATTTTTGATTATGGGCCCAGTTTTCAAGTTGGTCCAAGTTGGGGTCCAAAATTAAACTTTGTTTGATTTCAACAAAAATTGAATGTATGGGGTTCTTTGATATGCTGAATCTAAACATGTATTTAGATTTTAGATTTTTGGCCCAGTTTTCAAGTTGGTCCAAATTGGGGTCCAAAATTAAACTTTGTTTGATTTCAACAAAAATTGAATATATGGGGTTCTTTGATATGCTGAATCTTACCATGTATTTAGATTTTTTATTTGTGGGCCCGCTATCAAATTGGTTCATATTGAGGTCAAAAGGGTCCAAAATTAAACTTTGTTTGATTTCATGAAAAATTGAATTATTGGGGTTCTTTGATATGCCAAATCTAACCGTGTATTTAGATTTTTAATTTTGGGTCCTGTTTTTTAAATTGGTCTACATTAAGGTCCAAAGGGTCCAAAATTAAACTAAGTTTGATTTTAACAAAAATTGAAATTTTGGGGTTCTTTGATATGCTGAATCTAAACATGTGTTTAGATTTTTGATTATGGGACCAGTTTTCAAGTTGGTCCAAGTTGGGGTCCAAAATTAAACTTTGTTTGATTTCAACAAAAATTGAATATATGGGGTTCTTTGATATGCTGAATCTAAACATGTATTGAGATTTTAGATTTTTGGCCCAGTTTTCAAGATGGTCCAAATTGGGGTCCAAAATTAAACTTTGTTTGATTTCAACAAAAATTGAATATATGGGGTTCTTTGATATGCTGAATCTTACCATGTATTTAGATTTTTTATTTGTGGGCCCGCTATCAAATTGGTTCATATTGAGGTCAAAAGGGTCCAAAATTAAACTTTGTTTGATTTCATCAAAAATTGAATTATTGGGGTTCTTTGATATGCCAAATCTAACTGTGTTTTTAGATTTTTAATTTAGGGTCCCGTTTTTTAAATTTGTCTACATTAAGGTCCAAAGGGTCCAAAATTAAACTTAGTTTGATTTTAACAAAAATTGAATTCTTCGGGTACTTTGATATGCTGAATCTAAACATGTGTTTAGATTTTTGATTATGGGACCAGTTTTCAAGTTGGTCCAAGTTGGGGTCCAAAATTAAACTTTGTTTGATTTCAACAAAAATTGAATGTATGGGGTTCTTTGATATGCTGATTCTAACCATGTATTTTGATTTTGGACATTGGACCATAATAGGTAAATTAAAAAAATTCAAGTTCTTAGACCACATTCTTTCTGTGTCAGAAACCTATGCTGTGTCAAATATTTAATCACAATCCAAATTCAGAGCTGTATCAAGCTTGAATGTTGTGTCCATACTTGCCCCAACTGTTCAGGGTTCGACCTCTGCGGTCGTATCAAGCTGCGCCCAGCGAAGCATTTTATTCATTTTAAAGGCACGCCATAACCCCCAGACGTGGTTACTTTTATGTGACATTTAATTTGTTCCAATTTCTTTTCAATTTTTAAACTGACATTAACAGACCAAAGAGTTTTTTTTAATTCTACAATTTACTACACAATGTATTTATTATCATTATTGCCAGTAGTATATGTTATATCTTTATATAATCTTGCTGCACCCAATGACAAATTATATTAGTTTTTAGCTTGCAATACTAGCAAATGATGCAAAGAATATAAAATGCAAGCATTCTAGTAACTAATGTGCTCAAGTTTAAAAATAAAGCATTTTTCTATGATATTTAGACCAGTTTTTCAGAGAATTTACTTTAAAAAAAAGAATAGTAAAATGAATAGCAATGGATTGAAATGTAGGATACTAAAATTTGTATGGCCTATTGGATGCATTTGGATTTTTATCATTTTTTGTAGCTTTTGATAATTAAGTACAAAGGGAAAAGCTTCAGATATATCTCTCTGAACAACTTTTTCTTAAAACTGAAATATTTGTGGCAATGAAATATTGTTATCATTGATTTACCATATTTGTATATTTTCAGATCAAAATATAGTAAAACAGACATCAGGCAAAACACCTTTAGCATCTGCTGAAGAATTAGATAGTGTTATCAACTTATTGTCTGCATGTGGAACCCAGCCAAAACACATGGAAACCATTCATGAAAACCAACTTACTGTGCCAAGTATTTACACGTCACGCACACCCTCTCCTGGTAGTGATGAAATGAGGCCAAGCAAAGTCCAGCAGCAGAGACATTCGGAGGGGTCTTTGGATTTTTCAGGAATGGGAGGAGTTGGTCGTAACACCTGGCCCCATCGCTCAAGCTTGCCTAGTGTAGCATTAAGTGGACATATGAATTATCATGATATGATGGGAACTGGGGGTACATTACCAAGAAGGTTTTCACATGAACTGAACCGTCCAAATCCAAACTTTCTAAGTCCACAGCCATCTACTAATGCATTAACTGGTTCTAACTGGTCTTTCCCAGATTATAAATATGGAAACAGGACCTGGCCAATGAACAGCATGTCTGCTCAATGGTAGGTAATATAAATACATCAGAGGTTAGTATGACTGCCTTTTTGAGAATTTTCTAAGCAGAAATCACTCCTTTTTCGTTTGGAATGCTATGAAAAAAATGATCAATTTTGCAGCAGTCTTTATCATTAGCTCATTAAAAACAGTGAGGAACAGAGCTACTGACAAGATTCCTGTTTTTGGACAGGTACATCAACATATCAAAGCTAAGCTAGTTTTATGTGTATCCAATCCTTCCAATAGATTTGAAATATAATAAATGTCTCAATAGGTCAGGTACACTACCTTATATGGGTATGCATATTATAGCATACTTTAGTATGTTCCTGCCAATATAATTTTACTTTTCTTGTTGGGTGATTACATTTACAGACCATGATCTAAAGTACTAGTTCTATGCCCAGATAAAAGAAAGATTGTTTCTGTCCTAAGAAAACAGTGTTTCAAATACTCGAATCATATCCACTAATATTATATATCTACACTACTAATATAACGAGGTCCAATTTATTAACCGGCATGACAAAACAACCTTTGATGAACTACATTGATTATTTAAGTATATTTTGCACCTGACCATGTCAATAGGATATTTTGTACATGAAATAAAAGGGGATTTAACTAAATAAACAATCAAATATTTAAAACATGGTGTCAGAAGCTCCTTATTGTTTTTGACGATACTCACTTTTGTCATTCCACAGTTATGAGATTTTTTCATGAGAAATTGTGAACTTTTGTACATGTCTTACAATAACTCAAGAGTGCTTAGTCCAAATCGTATCAAACTTCCACATACACACGTAGTGCCAAAATTACCAACAGAAAGTTTCCTACGATTTCACTTTTGTTGTTCTAGAGTTATGGGACTTCTGTTTCTGTTAACCACACCTCACCAATACATTTCATGCTTCTGTGACGTTGGTTAAGATTTGCATTTAAGTCCATTTTCCTGCATGCTCTACAACCTATAGCCATGAAACTTCATCAGAAGATACGTCTTTGAGAGTACAGCACAGATATACAACAATTAAGACAACTTTACCTACATTTCACGCTTCAATGACTTTGTTAAAGATTTGTGTTAAGGTCCATTTTCTTTTCGCAAATTTACCAACAACAGGCGAGGGGGATTAGCTGAACATTGTTTTCGACTACTCCCCCATCTGTCAAATCCATCTGTCTGTAACATTTATAGGATCTTTAAACCACTTTATGTATTGAAGTGAAACTTCTGCAACAAATTTAATATATTCTGTACTGCTTGTAGTTGTGCACCATGGTTTCAGTTTTTTTAACCGGATTTTTCGAAGGAAAAATCGAATATTGATATGGGGATGTACGGCGGGTGGGTGGCTGCCAAACAGTGTCCGTTCATTAACATGTAAACGCTTTGACAAATTTTTTTCAAATTTGGATATGTTGTTTCCTGTGACTAAATGAAGGTCAAATTCAATTTTCACGATTTTAGCTTTTCTCCTTTTTGAGTTGTCGACTTTGTAGTATCCTTATATACTTATTATATGATTGAGTTATTTCCCTTTGAACAGAAATTGTAATTTGCAAATATCATTTTCATTAGATAATAATCTATTTTTATTAAAGGATATATTTCATTACATTATATTGTGTAGATAAAATTGTTGACATTAATAGAAAAGTTTAAGATCTATATTAATTAGTTTGTGACAAATGAAAGAAAAAATATTGGGAACTATTAATTATATATATAAAGTTTGATTACACTAAGTATTTTTAAATAATTTTCACCTGTTCATAGATAACAAAGCATCTGGTAAATATCTTTTCACTTGGGTCTGTATGGCGGTTGTGGAAGGGGCGGGTCCATAAGATTTATTGGATCTGCAACTCCTCTCTAACCATTCTATCTTATACAACAGACTTTCTATACATTGAAACTGTTTGTGCATCATTAGGTCTGTAGGGGCGGTTTCAGGAGTATTAGATCAAAAGTTTTGTCATTTCCCACTGCACAGTATGGAACCATGTGATTCTCATAAAAAAAAAATAGTAAAAGTTCACAGCAAGTTCCTGATAGACTTTCCAATTTAGAGATTTGATATTCAGGATTGACAAGACATTTCAAATTTCTCATTGTATAAGCATTAAAACACCCTGGAGAATACACTTAATTTTTTCAGAACAGAACATTTCATTAGACTTCATCCAAAATAATCATTAAAAAATAACTGAATCACTCGGTAATAACACTGCACAATCACAGGCTATTACTAGTATATATGGATAATAAACAAGGATTTCAGATATTCTGTCATATGGTAGCAACCAAACCACACAAAACCAGAAAGATGATTAGTTATACATGCATTCAGATTTGGAAAAAAAAGGAACACTCATTCATCTTGTAAAATTGGGACAGTGAGTGTCAAATATCTGTAAAATCCACTCACAAATCTTTTCTTTTTGGCCCAGAATAAATTTTAATATAATATTTCTTTAACTTATATTTTGTACTGTCATTGCAGAATCTTTTTTTTTTTGTAAATACTTATTTTCTCTTTAAATGTGAAATTAGTTTATAAATGAGATTATAATTTCAATCATTTATCCTCAATTTTATATTTCTACTCCATGATTCACAACATGTTTATAAAGGTCCAACTGTGGCTTTGATATGCTTTTATTTTGTTATTTTTTCTTTTGCGCATACTGATGTTGTGTCATGAAATAATACACTGTGTTTTTTAATCTCTTTAACTTTTGCTATGTACACATATATATATATAAGTATGTGATGTCATTTAGTATGTAATAAAATATGGTTAGGAATTAAGGAGGTGTGGCGTATATGTCAATGAACAGCACCAAAGGACAAAAATAACCTGTTATACAGGACTCAAGATTAAATCAATGACTGTTCTCTTTATTTTTATCTCAGATTTATACTCTAAACAGTCCAAAAAGAGCTGGTCTGCCATACAGGACTGAGATTATAGCGATGACTATTCTCCAAACAGTTTAGATAGTAGCTGATGTCAATGAGACAGCAACCAAATGACAAAAATGACCTGTTATACAGGACTCACGTTATATCAATGACTGTTCTCTTTATTTTTAGCTACGATACTCTAAACAGTTGAAATAGTAGCTGGTCTGCTATTCAGGATTATATCAATGACTGTTCTCTTTATTTTTAGCTACGATACTCTAAACAGTTTAAATAGTAGCTGATCTGCTATTCAGGATTATATCAATGACTATTCTCTTTATTTTCAGCTCAGATACTCTCAACAGTTTAAATAGTAGCTGGTCTGCTATTCAGGATTATATCTATGGCTTCTCTCTTTATTTTCAGCTCAGATACTCTAAACAGTTTAAATAGTAGCTGGTCTGCTATTCAGGACTCAGATGATCTCAGTGACGACTCTTCTTGTGGAGAACAGTTTTTTGCTGTAGGGCTGGACCTTGTACATGCAATGGATTCAAAGTAGGATTTTTGAAAATATATGTACTTTGATTACATTAAGTACGCTATAACTGCTGTTTTTTGCCAATACACCAGTTTCACATTTAACTGCGCATGTCTAATCTTATTAGCCAAACTATGAAATCACGCGATAATTCCCGAGAGTTTATCAACTGGGGGCTAACGGTTGATGTGACCATGCAGACTTGAAAAAACAATCATCTGATTAAGTGTTTGCGTTTACACGTCAAAGCAACATGAGCATCATTTGAATCAAAATATAAAAATTATATTGACGAGACAACTTTATTAACAGTGACACATTAAAAGATTTTAAAACGGACTACTGCTGTGTTGTTGGTTGCAGTAATATACGATCTGATATGCCGCCTGGCTTTAATTGTACCTTTTATTGTCACAAATTCACGCTGTGGTCGTTCGCTTAACGAGAAGAATAAATTAGAAAAATAAGCGGGGCTCACTTCATATACATAATATTAGGTCATAAATTAAGAAGTTAATTAGCACTTTAGCCATGTGGAATCCTCGTTTTACCTTGAACAATCTCACTAAGTGACAATTGATAAAAACCTATCCTTTTTTATACATACAGTTACTGAAAAAGGGCGACCATTTGATTAATTTATTCAACTTATGTACACAACTATTTCCTGCGTTTTGTGTTGCGGATTATTCTTTTTCATCCTGCCTTGGTCATAATTATTCATTTTTAACTCCAACTAGAATATTAATTTTCTAAAATACCCCTCCCCTGAAAATCAAATGGTCATCCCTACAACAGATGTTTAAAGTGTTAACCCTGGTACCTAATTTACACTGAGATATCATGGCCAGTACGGTTAATGCCACTGGGAATATTTTAATAATTTAGGAGGGGGGTCATTCAGCAATTTGGTCTAATTTAATGGCAAAGCGTGGTAAATACAGGATATTCAATAACTTTTAATGGCATGAAAAATGATAAAGTTGAAAATATGTAGAAAATTACTCTGGTCACTGGCACTGAACCTCTGCTTAGACGAAGTCGATCATGTACATAGCTTAGAAATTAAAATGGTATTGAATGCATTGTATTATAGTCTGATGTTTGAAAATTGAAGATAAATTTCACGCAAAAGTCACCATAACAGTAACCTGTTTTTGTTTAAAAGAAAATCAAAAGATCGAATCTATGACACTAAACCTATATGTAACCATTTACTTGCATGTCACAAGAAGATGTAAAAAAATATTTAAGAAAAACTGCTAATTTATACTGGAACAGAACTGAAATTAAATGTATTTCTGATGTTTAGGTTGTTTTCTTTTTATCAAAATATTTTTCTCTTTTCACGAAAAATCAAACTGGCATACAGCAATGTACATAGGGCAGTAAGCAAAAGAAAGCAATTACAAGATTAATACTTTTTTATAACCATTTCACTCATAAACACAACTGTTATGAACTCGTTACAGCAACTTATTTTCTCGTTTAATTGTTTTGTGTCGGGACCTTTTAGAGCTTACTATTCGGTATGGATTTTCTCATTGTCTAGAGCTACATATGGTGACATATGGTTGCTTTCATCTGTCATTTGGCTCTGGTGGATAGTTGTCTCATTTGCAATCATACCACATCTTTTTATTTTAATTTTATGTTATTCTCTGTATAAACGGTCAAACTATTTATTCTGAATATATAAAATAAACGATTATTAATATCTTAAAATTAAATATTCTCCAGCATACACCATGAAGAGAGAGAGTTGTGTATTATCGGTTGATTTATTATTGTGTTGCTAAATATCAGAGTCAATTTGATGTAGCCCCCTGTCACGTATGATATCGTTAATTATCACGGGATTTAAACCCAAACGTTCATAGGATTTTGAGATCAGCGTTGATAAGTCGCTTATGTGAAACTGGTCTATTCATTGGGTAAACATGTTAATAAAATAATTTCTCATAAAAATCTGCTGTAAACGCCACAAAAAAATTTCACAGATTTTTTTCATTTTTACTTCAATCAAGAAAAGTCAACGAAATTGAATCATTTTTTTTTTAAATTTAACAAACACATAACAAAAATTCCTAAGATGACCACGTAAAGGTAGGCACAGATTTAAGAGGCAAAACAGATCAGCTCTTAATTCTTTTAAAAAAGAAAATGCGACAGTGGCAAAGATAGATGTGATCCATCATCCATAATTTCTGGAAAGGCATATAAGCTATACAACACCCCTCCCCTCATACAACCAAAATACAGAGAGAGAAAATAAAAAAAAAGTAAATATTTAGAAAATAAAAACTTACAATCATGGAAAAGTTTTAAAGAGAGGATTTTTAGCACAAAAACTAAAACATATCAATGGAAACATCGAAAGCATGAAAAGTTGAAAAAAATGAGGAGCATGATAACTGCAAAAAGACATTGGGAGCATGAATTCTTAGTAGAATTGGGATATATCTAAATCAACATTTTGAGTGTGAAATTAAAATAAAGCATTGGAAACAAGCAAACTTAAAAACATTAGAAGTATAAATGATATATCATATAAGATTAAACATACATTATGAGAAATGAAATCAATCCAAAAAAAATATATCAGAAGGATGATGAGGTCTTATTCATTTTGTTATTAAAAGACATTTTAAAGCATGAAATTGAAACAAAGTAAAAATAGCACATTATCAAAAACAGACTAAGGGTACTTTTCCAAGGGGGGAATTATATCTTTCCTCAAGAATAATTGTTGGTTTTAGAATGGTAGGAAGTAATTTTGTTGTAAAATACAATAACAGGAATGGAAGTAGTGATGAAGAAACAGACAAACAAGCAAAGAATGCAGATGAACAAAATCTTGTATGTTATAAATTTTATGATTATTTTGGTTTTCAACTATAATTTACTGTTCAGTGAACTGATTGTTATCACATATATGCTTAGAGTAAAATACTTTCTCCATTTGTAAAATCTCAAACCCACTTTTGAGATTCTTGAATTGTTAATTAGTGTTAGATGGCGGAAATATATCTTTTCTAAAATTTCTTTTATAGTTAGGATTATGAGAATTAACTACCGGTAGCTTTCTGTAAAAAGTAATGAAAATAAATAGTAAAAAAAACTTTTAAAAAGCACTATAACTCATGTCTCATTTAAGAATGTGTTCTTGAAGTTCAAAATTAACTTAAATTTATCTTACATGTTATTTTAGAAGGACAACTTATCATCAGTATCATGGTCTCAGAAGCCGTCTTGGCCATCATCCAATCAAACTTCAGCTGTAACACCATGTGACCAAGGAAGAAACCAGTCACATCGGCCATTATCTATGCAGTGGAGTGACCCCCTTGCCAATAGAAACATGTGGCCTTCTGCATCAGGTATGACCTACTTAATAATCCTTAATGAACTTAGTCTGTAGTAAGATCTTTGAATATTGTCTTGTCGGTACTAAGACTTATTTTGTTTTAAATATTTTTAAACATAACTAAACACGTTTTGCTATACAGTCAGGAACACTAACGGTCATACATCCTGTTGATACAGTGTAGTTATATTTTGGCATTGCATAAGGTCATACTATTCTCAGACTGTTTATGATTTCTTACATTGTATCCATTAGATGTGTACTGATTGATGATTTAGTCTGGGACAAACATGATTTATTTATTAACAGTAATTAGCTTTGAACTAGCTTTCAGTAACTGTGAGTACTCTTAGATGGATACTTTATGTCTTTTGCTTTTTGTAAGTTTTTATACGACCGCAAAAAATTTTGCGGTCGTATATTGGTATCAAGTCGTCGTCGTACACGTCATCCTAACACATTTGGTTTCTGGACAATAACTTTAGTATTAGTCAATAGAAATCTATGAAATTTAAACACAAGGTTTATAACCACAAAAGGAAGGTTTGGATTGATTTTGGGGGTTATGGTCCCAACAGTTTAGGAATGAGGGGCAAAAAAGGGGCCCAAATAAGCATTTTTCTAGTTTCCAGACAATAACTTGTGGAACGGTGTATGGATCTCTCTGAAATTATACCACAAGTTTCCATACCACATAGGGATGGTTAGGATTGGCTTTGGAGTGTTATGGCTGAAACCGTTTAGAAAAGTGAGAAAAAAACAAGGGTGTACTGGTTAATGGACAATTACTTAAGTAAAATGTTGTGTTTGAATTACCTCCCTTACACTGCTTTTAAATTATGTATAAAGAAATGTTGTATTTTCTTGAGGTGATAAGCTGTCAATTTATTTTTAGAAGGTACTATTTTGATAATTTTAAAAATGTTGATTAAGGTATATTAATTTTAGCCGTGGTTATGCATGTCATTTTCTATTTTAAGACTTTTATGATGTATGTAAATGGGTTATTATGGTTGCAAACTCCATTGGAAATTTTGAATTGAGATTATGACCATATCTTGAGGAAAAGAATTTTTTTTTGAAAAAGGGGGGGGAGGTTAAAAAAAAATTGGGGGGGGGGTAAAAAAAAATGGTGGTGGGGACAATTTTTTCTCAAGATTTCAGAAATCAAAATGAAAATTTTTTTGGGGGGAGGTCAATTCGCAACAGCATAGTGTATTGCACAAATCCAAAAAAAGGGGGGGGATTGATTGATTGTTGGTTGCTTAATGTCCAGTGGCAAATATTTCATGCATATTCAGGATGATTGAGGGGAGGTCAATTCGCTATAGCATAGTGTATTGCACAAAAGCAAAAAAAAAAGGGGGGGGGGGGTAATTTTTTTTTTTTTTTTTTTTTGGTAGGGGGGGGGGGGGGTCAATTTGCAATAGCATAGTGTATTGCACAAAAGCAAAAAAATTGAATATAAATTCAAATCATATAACCAATTCTTAGTTCTTTGACTACAGTTATTCTGTGTCAGAAACCTATTATGTGTCTAATATTGAATTATAATCCAAATTAAGACCTGTATCAAGCGCGAATATTGTGTCCATTTTTGCCCCAACTCAGGGTTGGACCTCTACGGTCGTATCTAGCTGCGCTTGGCGAATCAATTTATTTTTTATGTTTCATGCTAATCTGATGCTCTTTCCAACTGATTTTTATACGACCGCAAAAAAATTTTTGTGGTCGTATATTGGTATGACGTTGGCGTCGTCGTCGTCCGGCGTCATCGTCGTCCAGCGTCGTCGTCGTCGTCCAGCGTCGTCCGAAGACACATTGGTTTTCGCACTCTAACTTTAGTTTAAGTGAATGGATCTTTATGAAATTTTACCACAAGGTTCAATACCACAAAAGGAAGGTTGGGATTGATTTTGGGGGTTATGGTAATAACAGTAAAGGAATTAGGGGCCAAAAAGGGGCCAAAAATAAGCACTTTTGTAACTTCCAGACATAACTTGTGTGTTAGTGTATGGATCTCTCTGACATTGTACCACAAGGTTCCATATCACTAAAGGAATGCTGGGATTGATTTTGGGGGTAATTGCCTCCAAATTTTAGGAATTAGGGGCCAAAAAAGGGGCAAAAAACAAGCATGTTTCTAGTTTCATGACAATAACTTGTGTGTAAGTGTATGGATCTTTCTGAAATTGTACTACAAGGTTCCATATCACAAAGGGAAAGCTGGGTTTGAGTTTGGGGGTAATTGCCCTAAACGTTTAGGAATTTGGGGCCAAAAAACACATTTTTTTCTAGTTTCCAGACAATAACTTGTGTTCAAGTGTATGGATCTCTCTGAAATTGTACTGCAAGGTACCATACCACAAAGGGAAGGCTGGGATTGAGTTTGGGGGTGATGAATCATAATGGGGGTTCAAAAAATTTTGGGGGGGGATTTATTTTTTTTTCATTTTTTTTCTTTTTTTCCTTTTTTGTTTCTTTTAAAATTTTCCATTTTAAGTTGGTTATTTCTGATTTATATTTAAAATCAAATAATAATGATATGGTAGGAGATACACACCAAACAGGATGTGTAAATTATTATATAATAAGTATTGTGCAATAGCAAGAAATTTTCAATTGCACAGTATTGCACAATAGCAAGAAATCTTCAATTGCACAGTATTGCGCAATAGCAAGAAATCTTCAATTGCACAGTATTGCGCAATAGCAAGAAATATCCAATAGCACAATATTGCGCAATAGCAAGAAATTGTCAATTGTACAGTATTGCGCAATAGCAAGAAATATTTAATAGCACAGGATTGTGCAAAAGAAGATACTTCCTATAAATTGCTTATTTCTTGACCAATTTCAATGGGGTTTTATTCTTGATTTCATGGGGTTCTTTAATATGCTGAATCTAACCGTGTATTTAGTTTTTGGATTTTGGGCCCCCTTTTTAAATTGGTCCACATTGAGGTCCAAAGGGTCCAAAATTAAACTTTTTTTGATTTCAACAAAAATTGAATATATGGGGTTCTTTGATATGCTGAATCTAACCATGTATTTAGATTTTTGATTTTTGGGCCCCGTTATCAACTTTGTCCACATTGAGGTCAAAAGGGTCCAAAATTAAACTTTGTTTGATTTCATCAAAAATTGAATTCTTGGGGTTCTTTGATATGCTGAATCTAACCGTGCATTTAGATTCTTAATTTTTGGTTCCGTTTTCAAATTGGTCTACATTAAGGTCCAAAGGGTCCAAAATTTAACTTAGTTTGATTTTAACAAAAATTGAATTCTTAGGGTTCTTTGATATGCTGAATCTAAACATGTATTTAGATTTTTGATTATGGGCCCAGTTTTCAAGTTGGTCCAAATCGGGGTCCAAAATTAAACTTTGTTTGATTTCAACAAAAATTGAATATATGGGGTTCTTTGATATGCTGAATCTAACCATGTATTTAGATTTTTGATTTTTGGGCCCCGTTATTAACTTTGTCCACATTGAGGTCAAAAGGGTCCAAAATTAAACTTTGTTTGATTTCATCAAAAATTGAATTCTTGGGGTTCTTTGATATGCTGAATCTAACCATGTATTTAGATTTTGGATATTGGACCATAATAGGTGAATGTCCAATTTAAAATTTTTAAGTTCTTAGACCACATTTAATCTGTGTTAGAAACCTATGCTGTGTCAAATATTTAATCACAATCCAAATCCAAAGCTGTATCAAGCTTGAATGTTGTGTCCATACTTCCCCCAACTGTTCAGGGTTCGACCTCTGCGGTCGTATCAAGCTGCGCCCTGCAGAGCATTTTATTAAAGTTTGTTCTTATGCTGTGCTGTTACATGACTGCAGTGTTCTCCCCAGGATTTTTGGAAAGCACCAGGGTAACGCGTATGGACAGCTCGGTGACATGATTCGTACAATTAGTCGTGTCGCATTGCGTCGCTTAGCTATATTTCTAGTTACTGTAGTTTTTATGTCTTTAGTTTTGTTTTAATACTGTGGTACTGTTTTATGTAGACATTGAGTCAGAAAATTATTGGTAAAAAAGAAGTAAATCAATAAACAGTTTGTATAACTTTGATATCTTTTAAAACTAATAAAACCTGATTCATTACAAAATATTCATCTAATAATTATAGTAATTAAATCTTTTATAAAATCCATGATCAATAAAAAAAAAATATCATTCAATGAGAACAAAAATGTTCAATTTAAAAAAACTTTCTAGTTTCTACATAGAAAGTTGTTGTATATAAAAGGATTCCTGTCATAAAGAGATATAAAATTAACAAGAACAAATATTGTTTTATTATTTGAACCAGTTTTTATCTTAAATTTTAATAAAAAGATATTTTCATAAACTTTAAAACATTTTGCAATAAAAATAAATTTCATGTTAATATTAACCTTTCTTGTCTTAGGTGATAATCAAACATAGATACAGACCAATTTCTGCACTAAAATCTAAATCTTTATTTGGCATGATCCATTTAAAAAGAATTTCTAAATCTACTTATCTTATGTCTAGAAGATCTATAAGTAACCATATTCTATTTCAACAACAAATTCTCCCTACTTTCCCGCCTAAATGACAGGAAGTAGATATAAATAGATTTTAACATGTGCTTATGGATAATGTTTGCAAAATTACTTCTTTTATTCATTAATTTTGGATATAGATATCCAGTTTGAAGGTACAGTCATGCATTTGATTTATAAAATAGATAGCAATTAATTGTAAATAAACTTGAATTTTCTGCTTGAATTAACTGGGTCATGTGATATGTACAGATGTCCGTCCCCTTTAAATAACTTGTACTAAAGTTTGAAACATGACTATCATGCAATAACTATGTCATAATTAGTCCCCTACTGACTAAGTCGAAGGGGACTTTAGGTTTGCACTCCGTCCGTCTGTCTGTCTGTTTGTCTGTCTGTCCATCCGTCAGTCTTGCAAATAAGTTCTCCACACTTTTTTTCTTCGTGCTTGAAGATATTGATTTGATATTTGGTGTATTTTTTTATCATGACAAGCTACAGATCAAGTTTGATTTTGTTCTGGTCTGACGATTTTGTGCAGAGTTATGGTCCTTGAACTTAGAAAATTCACTCAAATAATCAGTTTTCCGCACTTTTTTTTGTCATGCTTGAAGATATTGATTTGATGATTGGTATATAGTTTAATCATGACAAGTTACAGATCAAGTTTGAATTTTGGTCCGGTCTAACGATTTTGTGCAGAATTATGGTTCTTGGACTAATAAAATTCACTCAAATAATCAGTTTTCTGCTTTTTTTTTGTCATGCTTGAAGATATTGATTTGATGATTGGTATATAGTTTTATCATGACAAGTTACAGATCAAGTTTAAATTTGGTCCGGTCTAATGATTTTGTGCAGAGTTATGGTTCTTGGATTTAGAAAATTCACTCAAATAATCAATTTTCCACATTTTTTTTCGTCATGCTTGAAGATATTGACTTGATATTTGTTATATAGTTTACACCATGACTAGTTATAGATTAAGTTAGCATTTTGTTCCAGTACAATGAATTTTTAACTGGTAGGGGATAAGGTATTGCCAGGCAATACTCACAGAATGCTTGTTAAAGATAATTTTGGCCATAGATTAATGTAGAATGGACATCGGGAATTTTGATAATCGTATATCTCTGGCAAGGAAAGCTTGTTCTACGTGCTTCATAAAGAATTGAGAAATGTATAATATAATTGTCAATTATCTGTAATGAGCCAACAATTTAACATGTACAAAAAATGTACGGCGTGTGTACAACTATCGACACTGTTTGTGTACAAAGTATTTGCCAACTTATCACAGGTCAGCACTTAGGTGGTGAGTGAAGCCATAAAATAGTTATCTGTGATCATAAAGTTATGATTTCTTAATTAAAACACAAAAGAATCATGTTACAAGTGTTAATTACATCGATTAAATCCAATCAACAAGGTTAACCTCATAAGGTAAATCTATCACATGGTGTAAACAATCTGGTTTGAACTGGTCAAATTTCACCTGGAATTTTATACCGCACGGAAATGATTTAACTAGTCGTTTAAAACATTACTGATTTAAAATTTTTTAACTGTAAATTTTCGCACCACAGACAAAAATTATACATTGCATTAAGACCGATAGAACCACGCTAAAAAATTATACATCGCGGGTTGTGGTCCTTTAAGGGCCTGGGGAGAACACTGGACTGTCCAAGAAGGTTAGTAGGGTTGAGCGCACACATTCATGTTTACACCTCCACCTATATACTCTTTGGGTATTTCAAAGGTCTGGAGTCTGTTATTCAGTGGTTGTTGTTGGTTGCTGCTGGTCATACATGTATTTGTTTTTAGCTCACCTGGCCCAAAGGGCCAAGTGAGCTTTTCTCATCACTTGGCGTCCGTCGTCTGTCGTCATCCGTCGTCGTTAACTTTTACAAAAATCTTCTCCTCTGAAACTACTTGGCCAAATTAAACCAAACTTGGCCACAATCATCAATGGGGTATCTAGTTTAAAAAATTTGTCCGGTGAACCGGCCAACCAACCAAGATGGCCGCCATGGCTAAAAATAGAACATAGGGGTAAAATGTAGATTTTGGCTTATATCTCTGAAACTAAAGCATTTAGAGCAAATCTGACATGGTAAAATTGTTAATCAGTTCAAGATCTATCTGCCCTGAAATTTTCAGATGAATCGGACAACTCGTTGTTGGGTTGCTGCCCCTGAATTGGTTATTTTAAGGAAATTTTGCCATTTTTGTTTATTATCTTGAATATTATTATAGATAGAGATAAACTGTAAACAGCAAAAATGTTCAGCAAAGTAAGATCTACAAATAAGTCAAACATGACCAAAATGGTCAGTTGACCCCTAAAGGAGTTTTTGCCCTTTATATTCAATTTTTAACCATTTTTCTTAAATTTTTGTAATCTTTTACAAAAATCTTCTCCTCTAAAACCACTAAGACAAATTTAACCAAACTTGTCCACAATCATCATTAGGGTATCTAGTTAAAAAAATGTGTCCGATGACCCCGCCTGTGAACCAAGATGGCCGACATGGCTAAAAAATAGTACATAGGGTAAAATGCAGTTTTTGGCTCATTTATCTAAAACCAAAGCATTTAGAGCAAATCTGACGGGATAAAATTGTGTTCATTAGGTCAAGATCTATCTGCCCTGAAATTTTCAGACCAATCAGGCAACACGTTGTTGGGTTGCTGCCCCTGAATTGGTAATTTTAAGAAAATTTTGCAGCTTTTGGTTATTATCTTGAATATTATTATAGATAGAGATAAACTGTAAACAGCAATAATGTACAGCAAAGTAAGATCTACAAATAAGTAAACATGACCAAAATTGTCAATTGACCCCTTAAGGAGTTATTGCCTTTTAAAGTCAATTTTTTACAATTTTCATAAATTTTGTAAATTTTTGTAAATTTTTACAAAATATTTTCCACTGTAACTACTGGGCCAAGTTCATTATAGATAGAGATAATTGTAAGCAACAAGAATGTTCAGTAAAGTAAGATCTACAAACACATCACCATCACCAAAACACAATTTTGTCATGAATCCATCTGTGTCCTTTGCTTAATATGCACATAGACCAAGGTGAGCGACACAGGCTCTTTAGAGCCTCTAGTTATTGTTATACTATAAATCAAGCCATTGTTTTTTTTTTCGTTTGGATTGTTTCAAACTTGGTCATGTCTGGGACTAATATACTAGTCCCAGGTCATGTCTGGGCTTATAGCTTATTATACAGTATGGGTTTTGCTCATTATTGAGGGCTGTACATTAATCTATAGTTGCTTACATCCATGTACTTTGTTCACTGGTGAATTCTTTTCTCATTGGCAACCATTTGACATTTTCTTTCTTTTATTTCAAATGCCATCTATCTATTTGAAAGGTAAAGTTTCCATTTTGAATTAGTACCAAAATTTTTTTAAATTAGTTGCAAAGGCTTTATCAAGCCCCTTATCTATATTAAGCCATGTCACGTAAAAAAAAAACATCAACTTGAGTTATATAATAAAGTGTATATGATATGGCCTTTTCAATATCACATACCGTATCAATCAACCTTTAACCAATATAATCCCTAAAGCAGAGCTCTTGAGATTATATTTGTGTCTCCTGTTGATATGGATGTGATATTGAAATAGTCATGTAGTATTCTCTATTTAATACATATATTCCATAATTATTGTTTTGATAAAAAAAAAATATTTTATTAGGACTACAGAATGTACAGAATATACCTGGCTTTGGACATTTACAGTAAAAACAGTATACAGGGTACCAGTTTGTAATGGATTTCTAAGGGTCACAGATTATTTCAACACAGGAATGCTATTGTAGTCTATAATTTTCATTTTCTGAATTGTATCAAACCACTTTTTTGAATTTCTGTTATTCATATGATATTTACAATAAAGTATAAATCCATCAATAATTTTTACATTTGGTAAAAGAAGCTGAATTTTGGTGACCCATTGCAGTATTTTAAAAATGTTAGTAGCACTAAAATTTTATTCTATTAATAGATGATTCCATTCACATTTTAAGCAGTATGTATATGTCGAATTGGCCGTAATAATTTCTTTATTATACACATAATTTGCTTCTGTTATAGCTATTTTCACTTTTATTTTTTATGACAAAATCATCTGTGTCAATGATATCTTCTTAAAATATTTTGTTTGTAACATATCAGTATTTGAATAGGTTAATAAATTGGAGAATTTTACCAAAAATCCAAATGTCTTTTTTTCATCAACAGAAAAACTAGTCATCTTTACAATTAACACATACCTGTGTTTGAGATTAATTATTGAAACATGTGCTTTTTAATTAACTGCCAAATTACTTAGAAAAAATGAGACCGAATTGAATTCCATTTCCATATTCGTGTTAGTTTTGTTGTTTACCATGTGGATCTTGTTGATTTATATTTGTTTAGTTGTGATGTTGTTAATTACTTGTGAAGTTATTGTCATTTTTTGTTTGTTTCATTGTATGATATTTTGAACGGTTTTTCAAGTACATGTATCAATGTTTTCTTTTATTATTTTTTTCTTTTTCTTTAATTAAAACATGGACATTTAAAACAAATATATATATATATATATATATATATATATATACAGGTTCCAGCCCCACTCGGGGAGGAAGTAAAGAAACAGATCTACTCTAGCATCTTTAGGTTGATTTTCTAGGCACTTTATATATATATATATATATATATATATGAATGAAAGGAGATGTTGAATATATATCATTGAGACAACAACCTAACATTACAAATCCTTAATGACATCTTAGTGGGTCTGGATTTGGGGGTCCTTCAATTCTTTTTTTTTCTCTGTTCTCTATTCTTTATATTTAACATCCCATTATTTTCTATACTTAATTTTTTTTTTGCCCTTTATTCTGCGCCTTTTGCTCAATATTCTCTTTTCTGTGAACATCCAGACCCCCATCTTATGTTTCCTTTGCTTCCTCTTTGATTTTTAATTTTATACAAATCATGTTTTTTCTAAATTCTCTTTTTTATAAATTGTTTCACATTACTGTACTTTTCATCAGATGCAGTCTTTGATAACTTTTAGAATATATTCAATGGATGTCATTTTAACATCAAGCAAATTTTTGAATTGATAAAAAATATTTCTGCAAAGACAAGGTTTTTTTTTAATGTCAAAGTGAAATAATCCAATATATATTTCTATATAGAATCTGTTTGTTGTCAGAGATTTTGACTACAATCTGTATCTCATGTGACTTCTTAAAGTAGATTGATTTTGAAATGACTTTTAACATTACAAGAAATATTGTTTTGTGTAAAACTGAAATGGCATTGACTGATTCAAAGTTTATTCTTGTTAATATGGCATGTTAATATTTTATCAGATGTTTTTTTTTTTTATTGTGGTCAACCAAATTCAATATGAAATACTGGCCAATATTGCTAAAATGGACATTATGTATTGATTGAATGTAAATGGTATGAAAATCTTGATCTCCATGATTTTACACGTCACAAATAGTGATAGTTATCTTCAGTGTACATCAGTTTGAAAGTCTTCAAGTCCTATTTTGTGAGGGGTTTACAATTCAATTTTTTCCATAGACATTTGAATATTCACTTTTAAAGATTTATGCAAAAAATAAAGTTGCAGATGAGATTATGGTACACAAACCAACAGTTTTGAGATAGTGTTTTCACAAATATCTTAGTATTCCATGGTGTAATTGTTTATTTCTACTTCATGATATTTTATTTAACAAAACCAAATTTTCAACCCTTCCACATCACCTGAGGTCATTTGCGATGGCTATTTATTTGTTTCTCAATGTTTAGTTTTCTGTATAGTATTTAAAGGAATGTTGTGAATCTTTTTAGCTCACCTGGCCCAAAGGGCCAAGTGAGCTTTTCTCATCACTTGGCGTCCTGCGTCCTGCGTCCGTCGTCCGTAAACTTTTACAAAAATCTTCTCTTCTGAAACTACTGGGCCAAATTTGACCAAACTTAACCACAATCATCATTGGGGTATCTAGTTTCAAAAATATGTCCGGTGACCTGGCCAACCAACCAAGATGGCCGCCATGGCTAAAAATAGAACATAGGGGTAAAATGTAGATTTTGGCTTATATCTCTGAAACCAAAGCATTTAGAGCAAATCTGATATGGGGTAAAATTGTTTATCAGGTCAAGATCTATCTGCCCTGAAATTTTCAGATGAATCAGACAACTCGTTTATGGGTTGCTGCCCTGAATTGGTAATTTTAAGGAAATTTTGCAGTTTTTGGTTATTATCTTGAATATTATTCTAGATAGAGATAAACTGTAAACAGCAATAATGTTCAGTAAAGAAAGATCTACAAATAAGTCAACTTGACCAAAATGGTCAGTTGACCCCTTAAGGAGTTATTGCCCTTTATAGTCAATTTTTAACCATTTTTCGTAAATTTTTGTAATCTTTCACAAAAATCTTCTCCTCTGAAACTACTAAGACAAATTTAACCAAACTTGTCCACAATCATCATTAGGGTATCTAGTTTAAAAAAAGTTGTTCGATGACCCTGCCCGCTAACCAAAATGGCCTACATGGCTAAAAAATAGTACATAGGGTAAAATGCAGTTTTTGGCATATATCTCTGAAACCAAAGCATTTAGAGCAAATCTTACAAGGATAAAATTGTTCATTAGGTCAAGATCTATCTGCCCTGAAATTTTCAGACCAATCAGGCAACACGTTGTTGGGTTGCTGCCCCTGAATTAGTAATTTTAAGAAAATTTTGCAGCTTTTGGTTATTATCTTGAATATTATTATAGATAGAGATAAACTGTAAACAGCAATAATGTACAGCAAAATAAGATCTACAAATAAGTCAACATGACCAAAATTGTCAATTGACCCCTTAAGGAGTCATTGCCCTTTATAGTCAATTTTTTAGCTCACCTGGTCCGAAGGGCCAAGTGAGCTTTTCTCATCACTTGGCGTCCGTCGTCGTCGTTAGCTTTTTACAAAAATCTTCTCCTCTGAAACCACTGGCCCAAATTTAACCAAACTTGGCCACAATCATCATTAGGGTATCTAGTTTAAAAAATGTGTCCAATGACCCCGCCAACCAACCAAAATGGCCACCATGGCTAAAAATAGAACATAAGGGTAAAATGTAGATTTTGGCTTATATCTCTGAAACCAAAGCATTTAGAGTAAATCTGACAGAGGGTAAAACTGATTATCAGGTCAAGATCTATCTGCCCTGAAATTTTCAGACAAATCTGACAACCTGTTGTTGGGTTGCTGCCCCTGAATTGGTAATTTTAAGGAAATTTTGCAGTTTTTTATACGACCGCAGAAATTAAAAATTTTTTGGTCGTATATTGGTATGACGTTGGCGTCGTCGTCGTCGTCGTTGTCGTCGTCGTCCGAAGACACATTGGTTTTCGCACTCTAACTTTAGTTTAAGTGAATGGATCTCCATGAAATTTTACCATAAGGTTCAATACCACGAAAGGAAGGTTGGGATTGATTTTGGGGGTTATTATGGTACCAACAGTTAAGGAATTAGGGGCCAAAAATAAGCATTTTTGTAACTTCCAGACAATAACTTGTGTGTAAGTGTATGGATCTCTCTGACATTGTACCACAAGGTTCCATATCACAAAGGGAAGGCTGTAATTGATTTTGGGGGTAATTGCCTCAACATTTTAGGAATTAGGGGCCAAAAAAGGGGCAAAAAAGAAGCATTTTTCTAGTTTCATGACAATAACTTGTGTGTAATGTTTGGATATTTCTGAAATTGTACTACAAGGTTCCATATCACAAAGGGAAAGCTGGAATTGAGTTTGGGGGTAATTGCCCGAAACGTTTAGGAATTGGGGGCCAAAAAGGGGCCAAAAATAAGCATTTTTATAGTTTCCAGACAATAACTTGTGTTCAAGTGTATGGATCTCTCTGAAATTGTACTGCAAGGTACCATACCACAAAGGGAAGGCTGGGATTGAGTTTAGGGGTGATGAATCATAAGGGGGTTCAAAAAATTTGGGGGGGGGGAATTCTTTCTTTTTCTTTTTTTCCTTTTTTTTTTCTTTTAAAATATTCCATTTTAAGTTGGTTATTTCTGATTTATATTTAAAAGCAAATAATAATGATATGTTAGGAGATACACACCAAACAGGATGTGTAAATTATTATATAATAAGTATTGTGCAATAGCAAGAAATTTTCAATTGCACAGTATTGCACAATAGCAAGAAATCTTCAATTGCACAGTATTGCGCAATAGCAAGAAATCTTCAATTGCACAGTATTGCGCAATAGCAAGAAATATCCAATAGCACAATATTGCCCAATAGCAAGAAATTGTCAATTGTGCAGTATTGCGCAATAGCAAGAAATATTCAATTGCACAGTATTGTGCAAAAGAAGATACTTCGTATAAATTGCTTATTTCTTGATCAATTTCAATATGGTTTTATTCTTGAATTCTTGGGGTTCTTTAATATGCTAAATCTAACCGTGTATTAAGTTTTTGCATTTTTGGCCCCGTTTTTAAATTGGTCCACATTGAAGTCCAAAGGGTCCAAAATTTAACTTTGTTTGATTTCATCAAAAATTGGATTATTGGGGTTCTTTGATATGCTGAATCTAACCGTGTATTTAGATTCTTAATTTTTGGTTCCGTTTTCAAATTGGTCTACATTAAGGTCCAAAGGGTCCAAAATTAAACTTAGTTTGATTTTAACAAAAATTGAATTTTGGGGTTCTTTGATATGCTGAATCTAAACATGTATTTAGATTTTTGATTATGGGCCCAGTTTTCAAGTTGGTCCAAATCGGGGTCCAAAATTAAACTTTGTTTGATTTCAACAAAAATTGAATATTTGGGGTTCTTTGATATGCTGAATCTAACCATGTATTTAGATTTTTGATTTTTGGGCCCCGTTATCAACTTTGTCCACATTGAGGTCAAAAGGGTCCAAAATTAAACTTTGTTTGATTTCATCAAAAATTGAATTCTTGGGGTTCTTTGATATGCTGAATCTAACCATGTATTTAGATTTTGGATATTGGACCATAATAGGTGAATGTCCAATTCAAAATTTTTAAGTTCTTAGACCACATTCATTCTGTGTCAGAAACCTATGCTGTGTCAAATATTTAATCACAATCCAAATTCAGAGCTGTATCAAGCTTGAATGTTGTGTCCCTACTTGCCCCAACTGTTCAGGGTTCGACCTCTGCAGTCGTATCAAGCTGCGCCCTGCGGAGCATTTTATTGGTTATTATCTTGATTATCTTGAATATAATTATAGATAGAGATAAACTGTAAACAGCAATAATGTTCAGCAAAGTAAGATCTACAAATAAGACATGATGACCAAAATTGTCAGTCGACCCCTTTAGGAGTTATTGCCCTTAATAGTCAATTTTTAACAATTTTTTGTAAATTTTTGAAATCTTTTACAAAAATCTTCTTCTCTGAAACTACTGAGACAAATTTAACTATACTTGGCCATAATCATTATAAGGGTATCTAGTTTAAAAAAATTTCCGATGACCCCGCCTTCCAACCATCATGGCCGACTTGGTTAAAAATAGAACATAGGGGTAAAATGCAGTTTTTGGTTTATATCTCTGAAACTAAAGCATTTAGAGCAAATCTGACAGGTAGCAAATATGTTCATCAGATTTAGATTTATCTGCCCTGAAATTTTCAGACGAATCTGACAAACTGTTGTTGGGTTGCTGCCCCTGAGTTAGTAATTTTACAAAAATTTTGCAGTTTTTTGTTATTATCTTAGATATCATTATAATATCTAATATCTAATACTATTAATTATGATTTTAACCTTATTTTACATGATTTCCAAAGCATCAGTAAATACAGGTGAGCGACACAGGCTCTTGAGAGCCTCTAGTTTACAATTTTCATAAATTTTGTAAATTTTTGTAAATTTTTACAAAATATTTTCCACTGTAACTACTGGGCCAAGTTCATTATAGATAGAGATAATTGTAAGCAGCAAGAATGTTCAGTAAAGTAAGATCTACAAACACATCACCATCACCAAAACACAATTTTGTCATGAATCCATCTGTGTCCTTTGTTTAATATGCACATAGACCAAGGTGAGCGAAACAGGCTCTAGTTTTATTTTGTCCACCCTTTTATGTTGTCTGTACTTCAACTTCTTACTTTTTTTTGCCCTGTTGTATCTTCTTTCCCTTTTTGCTGTGAAAATTATATCCAATGAAAATAAAGTGTGATTACAATGGTTGCAATTCTTTGTACTCAAGATATATATTGGTTGTTAATGGTAAGGCTATTTCTTACACATAAAATACATTATATAATTGTAGTTAGGTGACATGTTATCAAAACTTGGCTCATATTTTTAAAAACCTTTTAAGAATGGTATGTAAAAATAAATTTGGGCCGTAAAATTTCAAAGTATTAAAAAGTTGAATGTTCATATGAAAAAGAATGAATGCCATAAAATTTTCACATCAAAAGTATAATTTTAGAATGTATCTGTCTGAATTAAGCAGTTGTGAAAGTTATATCTTATCAACACATCTATTGTTTATTTACCTGGCATTGTCATAAAATATTAGTAACATTTGAATATAAAAATATACATTGATTAAAGATATTAATAGAATAGTAAACAGCATGTGGACAAAAGTCATTTCTTATTTGAGGTGTCCTGTATCATTTCATATAAATTTGTAAATTTCAAAAAAAATTATTTTGAACCAATATTTTTAAACTTTAATCATTACACTAAGAATTAAGGAGCAAGACATTTGCATGCATTTCCATTACAATTACACACAGCTTTTTATAACACTTGTGTACATTCATTTTACAGGTAAACACAGGTATTTTAAGGGAAATTTTCTCAAAATCTTTTTGCATTAAGAATGGCTCTCGAAATAAATGTTTGTCAGTTTCTGTCTTGCCTTGACGGAGTCAAAAAGTGATTGATTTTTGATTTTTGGTGTTTTAACGCCACTTTTAAGCACCGCTTTTGGGCTATTTCGTGGCGGCCAGTTTTTATTGGTGGAGGAAGCCGGAGTACCCGGAGAAAACCACTGACCTTCGATAGGAAAACTGACAATCCTAGTCAATTAAGATTGGAGTCGAGTGCACCCGCACGAGCGGGGTTCGAACTCACAACCTCAGTGTTGACTGGCTAGTGATTACAGTAGTAACTACTTAGACCACTCGGCCACCGAGGCCCCGAGTCAAAAAGTGAGACATAGGTATGCTGTTTCCGGTGTTGGAAGCTTCAACAATGTATTAAGTTTGTGATAAAGTTAGTTTATGGGGAACCACTAGTGGTAGGTCAATGATATTTGGTATGCAATTGTATTAGCGTTGACATATCTCATTTCCATGGAGATTATTTGACCCTGCCCCCTCAGTCATGGTCTATCGACTTTGAGAAACTTTTGCTTAGTTTGCATGTATTAGTTTGTGAATAGGTCAGTTTATGGAGAACCACTAGTGGTAGGTCAGTGATTTTTGGTATGCAGTTGTATTAGCA